CCTTGTTTTGGTTGAAGATAATGAGCTTCACCATCACCTCTTTCCACAGATGTAGTCAATCTGATTCCTGTGTACTCCATCTGGTGAATTCCACATGTATAGCCACCATTTGTATTGTTGAAAAAAGGTATTTGCAATGAATAAGTCGTTGGTCTTGCAAAATTCTATCATGTGAACTCCAGCATTATTTCTGTCACCAAGGTCAAATTTTTCAACTACCAGTGATTCTTCTTTGTTTCCAATTTTACATTCCAGTCACCAGTGATAATTAACACATCTTGATTGCATGTTTGGTACATTTTAGACTGCAGAAGTTGATAAAAATCTTCAATTTCCTCATCTTTGCCATTGGTGGTTGGTGTGTAAATCTGAATAATAATAGAATTAACTGGTTTTCCTTGTAGGCATATGGATATTATTCTACCACTGACAGCGTTGTTCTTCAGAACAGATCTCGAAACATCCTTTGTGATGATGAATGCCACACCATTCCTCTTCAAATTGTCATTTCTGGCATAGTAGATCATATTGTTTTCTGATTCAAAATGGCTAAAACCAGTCCATTTCAGATCACTGATGCCTAAGATATTGACCTGCGTACATTGCATTTCATTTTTGACAACTTCCAATTGTCCTAGATTCATACTTCATACATTCCATGTTCTGATTATTAATGGATATTTGCAGCTGTTTTTTCTCATTTTGAGTCATGCCACATCAGCAAATGGAGATCCTTAAAGCTTTACTCTATCCACTTCATTAAGGTCAGCTCTACTCTGAGGAGCCAGCTCTTCCCCTGTCATATCTTGAGTGCCCTCTGACCTGAGGGGCTCATCTTCTGGCACTATATTGGACAATGATACAGGGATATTCATAAAGTTTTCCAGCAATATATCAGACAGTATTTCACTGCTATTCATAAGGTGTTCACTGGCCAATTGTTTGAGAAGTGGATGGCCCCTTCCTTCTTCCAAGTCTGCCTTAGTCTGAAAGCTCCCCTGAAATCGGTCCACCATGGATAAACTTGCTGGCATTAGTAACACCAGCGGCATAGCCTTCAGTTTCACACCAACATGCAAGCCACCACAGTAGGACAAACTGACAGACAAACAAGTTTGTCTCCCTTAGCTGTTCCAAACTGTTCTGGTCACTTCCTGGTCTCTCTCAGCTGTTCAAATCACTCCAGTCACTTTCTGGTCTCTCTCAGTGGTTCCAAACCACCACCTACCCCACTTCCTGGTCTGTTTCCTCCCTCAGCTGCTCTGAACTGCACTGCCACAGCCACTGCCCTGCTTCCTGGTCAGTGTGTCTCCTCCCTAAAGCTGCTCCAAATTGCACTACCATGGCCCCTGTCTGCCTTCCTGGTCAGTCTATTTCCTCCTTCAAAGTACCCTGAATTGTACCACATAGCCCCTGGCTGGCTTTCTGGTTGGTCTGTCTCCTCTCTCAAGCTGCTCCAAACCACACTGCCGTGGTCCCCAGCCAACTTCCTGGTCTGTCTGTCTCTTCCTTCAAGCTGCTCTGAAAATTTTCCCAGCCTCTACCCATTGCCCAATTCCAAAACTGCTTCCACATTTTACATACCTGTTAGAGTATCACCTCAGTCTTTTGGTACCAAATTCTTAGTTACCTACTGCTGCTATAACAGAAATACCACAATTTGATGGCTTTAACACACAGAAATTTATTTTCTTGCAATTTAGGAGGCTCCAAGTCTCAGCTGAGAGCACTGGTTGGAGAGGAAGGCTTGCTCTCTCTGGCTCTGCGAGAGGGTCCTTGCCTCCTCAGCTTCTGCTCCCTAGTTCTTTGGAGATCTCTATTTGTCCTGGCATCTATCTTACCCCACCCCTATTTGCTAGCTATTATTTAACCCATTTTTATATCTCAAAAGAGAATGATTCAAGATATACCCTACATTAACCTTGCTTCATTAGCATAACAAAGACAGCCCATTCCCTAATGAAATTATAACCACAGACATAACATTGAGGTTAGGATTTATAACACATATGTTTTCGGGACACAATTCAATCTATAACACTTAACTAAAAAAACCAAACTCACTGCTGTGGAGTCAGATCCAACTCATAGCGACCCGTCCTTGGGTTTCCGAGGTGGTATCACTATGGAAGTAGATTGCCCCATCTTCCTTCTGAGGAGTGGCTGGTAGGTTTGATCTGCCAGTCTTCTGGTTAGCAGTCAAATGCCTTAGGCACTACACCACCAGAGGTGCTCTATAACACTTCGTAATTTTTATTTATTTATTTACCAATTTTAATCATAGAATAATATGATATAGCTGTAAATTGCTTTAATGTAATATTTCTTAGATTACATGAATAGTAATAACAAAATTGTTCTGTAAAATCATTCTCCAATGAGTAACATTATTAGTAACTGAGTGGAAACGATTTTTTTTGTCTTTTTCCTTTAATTACTACTTCATTCTTAAAAGAGTCCTTGACAGATGTTCACAAATGCTAATTACCACAATACTATAGCTAAAGCACCAGAAAATTGGACACAGTTAGTGACGACAAAGACATGAGCAGTAATGAAAACAACAGTGCATGCTTGTAGCACACACAGATGAAAGCAAGTGATTCGCAGCATCACTGTACCTGGGTAATGACAGCTCTGAGCAGAGCGCATTGGAAGGTTCAAAAAGTCAATCAGCATCGAGTTTAAGCCTTGTAGATATACTGATGTGCATAAACTGGGCTTATGAAAAATGTTTTTGTTGTTGTAACTAAGTACTAAACCCACTGCCATGGAGTCAATTCCAACTCAGTGACCCTATAGGATGGAAAAGAACTGCTCCACAGGGTTTCCAACACTGTAAATCTTTATGGAAGCAGGACTACCTCATCTTTCTCCCACAGAGCAGCTGGTGGGTTCAAACCACTGACCTTTTGATTAACAGCGCAATGCTATTTTTAACCACAGCGCCACCAGAGCTCCTTATAACTAAGTACAGGGACACTTTCATAAAAAATAATAAACTCTGCTGAACTACTACACAACACTTTCGTAGACAGTCATTTGGTCAGACCCTCTCTGACACCGTCACCCCCGTACTCCCTTAGAGATGCCACTGCCACCTGCTGTTGAGTTGACTCTAATTCATGGAGACCCCGTGGGCGTCAGAGAAGAACTGTGCTCCAGGGGGTTTTCAACGGCTGATTTTTTGGGAGTAGATCACCAGGCCTTTCTTCCAAGGCTTCTCTGAGTGGACTCAAATCTCCAACCTTTTGGTTGCCAATTAAATACGTTAACAATTCATACCACCAGGAGTTCCTGACTGGCAGACAAGAGGAGCAGAATAAATGCTTCCTTTCCAGAAGAAGTTCTTTTTAACTACTTATTATGCATGTGCAAATCATAGGTTTCAAATGAACTCTTTGTAATCTCTGTATCCTTTTGAACATGCCACCTTAAGATACTATTTTACAGAGTTACCATCCATGATGTAAAGTATTAAAAAAGTAAAATAAAATTACCCACTGTTGCTGGAGTGATTCTGACTCATAGTGACCCTGTAGGACAGATTAGCGTTGCCCCACAGGGTTTCTAAGGCTGTAATCTTTACAGAAGCAGAGGGCCATATCTTTCTCTCACAGAGCAGCTGATGCGTTCAAACTGCCAAACTTTGCATTAGCAGCTGAGCACTTACCATGGTGCCACCAGGGCTCTTTGATATAACGTGTGTGTTGTTGTTGTTGTTATGTGCCAGCGAGTCAGACCTGACTCATAGCCACCCCGCCTTGGGTTTCTGAGGCAGTATCACTACGGAAGTAGGATTGCCCAACCTTCCTTCTGAGGAGTGGCTGGTGGGTTTGAACCGCCAGCCTTCTGGTTAGCAGTCAAGTGCCTTAGCCACTATGCTACCAGAGCTCCCACCTATTATGTGTAGTAACTAATATTTTTTCCTCTTACAAGTTTCAAAGAATATCCTTGAAACATTAATATTGAAGAGAAAATTTAGACCCACACTTTACATAATTTCTAAATGTCTTTTAAAAAGTAATCTTTTGAAAATGCTTATGATTTCTTAGCCAGAGTGAAGAAGATGAGTCATTTATTTATTTATTTATTTAGTTTTAAAGAAAAATTAGAGCAGCAATTTGCAAATGACTGGGTCTGCAAGGATATGGAAAATTTGACAAAAGTAGGTTTGATAGGATCTTGTGCATGACTCAGCAGAGAACAGCCAGCCAGGCACACCACCTGGCTAATAGGTATGAAAGAGCATGGCTCCTCCAGCCATGAAGTCAATTCAGACTTGGTAAGAAAATGACACAGAAGGAAGATTGGGCAATCTACTTTGGTAGGGATACCACCTCAGAAACCCAACGAGGGGTGGCTATGAGTCCAATGGATTCGATATCAGTGAGTTTGGTTTTTTAAGTAAATGACACAGGGAGTGGTCTGTATTAGCTACAGATTCACATCCAAGTGCCACTTCAGGTGTTGATCATAATCTTTAAGTGGTTAGGGCACTGGGTAACAGAAGGATTGTGCGTTACCATGGTTTCCCTGGGATCAGCCAAGTCCAGTCCTGCCTTCCTTGCAGAAAAGTCTGGAAGGCAGGGTGTGTTTCTCAGAGGGCCACCATCTGCGGACTATCCAGATCCTCACTCTTCTTTCTATAAACTGGACTCTTCTGCTGGAATGACTCTCCAGCGCAGATGCTACAGAGAGATTGCTTTTATTGCTCTTGACCCAGCTTTTAACTATATTTTAAAGTGTGTTTTAAATTTTCATTTGCTTCCATTGGGTAACCCATAAACTAGTCTACATCTTCATCAATGGCAATAAATCAACATGAAGTAGTTTCACCGAAGCTTTATCTGACCTGATGTAATATGCCAGGAACTTGTTTCGCCATGTAGACTGCCACAGGAATTTGACCTGATTAGCGTTTCAAAGGCATCATTACAGCAGACACGAAAATGTGTGTGATCATCAAGAGCTCCAAAGAGCTCAACCCAGTCATTTACCTTGCAACGCATCTGCTCTGCGTGTAGTTCTTCGTGGTGATCTGGTAAAGGCTGGGAAAGCTTCTTTTTGAAAGTTCTTAGTTTCTCCAGAGAATCCGCTATTCCTTTTTCACATTTTTCCCAATCCTACAATTGGAGGAGAAAGGAATTTCATATTTTTTTTTGGTGGGAATTTGGAAGAAAAAACAACCAACTAACAAATAACTGGTCCAAAACCCAGAGAAAGAGTTAAAGTTGCTCTGATGAATAGTGTCGGGGTGTGATTCACACCCATCACCATTGTTGAGGAGCATGGTGTGGTGGCCAGAGGAGCTGAGTTGAAAATGGACTCTGTTCCTTACAAGCTGTGTGGTGTCTAACAGATTATGCTCTAAGTTGCAGTTTCCCCTGAATGAAAACGAAGAGAATACAAAGTCTCTATAATTCTTGGAGAACTAAAGGAGATAATGATATCAGGGCACCAAATGCAATGCCAGAATATTATAGATATTATACCCACTGCCATCAGGATGATTCCAACTCACAGCCACCCTACAGGACAGATTAGAACTGTCCCATAGCATTTTCAAGGCTGTAAATCTTTACAGAAGCAGGCTGCCTTATCTTTTTCCTGCAGAGTAGCTGGTGGGTTTGAACCACTGATCTTCTGGTTAGCAGCCAAATGCCTTAAACACAGAGCCCCCAGAGTTCCTTTTATAGATATAGATAGTGGAAAAATGTTATCTCAATTTGATTCAATCACCAGAGTTGAGAGTACAGTCATGGTACTTTGCCTCTTTCCTAACCCTACCTATAACTGTACCACTATCAGTACTATCTCAAATCCATAGTCAGGGATAAAAAAAGAGGATATGGAATTTCTTTCAGGATGAAAATAAGTATGCAGGATCGACTCGACAGCAGGGAGTTTAATAGAAATGAGATAGACTATAAAAATAATACAACCTTGACTCTCATTAAAAAACAAAACAAAACACTGTAGTCCAGTCAGTTCTGACTCATAGTGACTCCTCCTTGGGTTTCTGAGGCAGCATCACTACAGTAGTAGATTGCCCAACCTTCCTTCTGAGGAGTGGCTGGTGGGTTTGAACCACCAGCCTTCTGGTTAGCAGTCAAATGCCTTAGGCACTATGCCACCAGAGCTCTCAAAATATAAATAGTATGAGCTAGATTATTTGATTTGTCACAGAAGTAGAAACACACAATTACAAAAGACATGACATTTGACTGGTGGCTTGCTTATTTTGTAATACCATCAGGAAAGACCAGTCCCAAGAAAAGGACATCATGTTTGACAGAGCATTAACTAAAGAGAGGGAAACTCTCAATGGGGCACATTGGCTCAACAGCCACAACAATTGTACTCAACAATCATGAAGATGTCCTGGGACCAGGCAACGTTTCTTTTTGATATACATAAGGCCACCATGAGTTGTAGCTAACTTGATGGTAACTAACAACAACAATAACTTGACAGTCGTGAACACATTAAAAAAATAAAAAAAAGGTTAAATGTATGGTCCATTAAAAAACCACGCAACTAATAAGTGGAAAGAGAGAGAACACACAATGTAAGAGATGTCATTGTTGTTGTTATTAGGTGCCATCAAGTTGATTCCAACTCATAGAGATCCTAAGTACAACAGAATGAAACACTGCCCAGTCCTGTACCAGCCTCACAAATCCTTGCTATACCTGAGCCCATCGTTGCAGCCACTCTGTCAATCCATCTCATTGAGGGCATGCCCTCTTTCGTTGACCCTCCACTTTACCAAGCATGATATCCTTCTCCAGGGTACGGTCCCTTCTGACAACATGACCAAAGCAGGTTAGATGAAGTCTGGCCATTCTGGCTTCCAATGGAAGAGACAGATATCTACTATCCCATGTAGTGATAAGTACTCTGAAGAACAATATAGCAGGGTTAGTGGTTGAGAGGGGGGTTCTGGTGGCATAGTGCCTAAGGCATTTGACTGCTAACCAGAAGGCTGGTGGTTCAAACCCACAAGCCACTCCTCGGAAGGAAGATTGGGCAATCTACTTCCATAGAGATAGTGCTTTGGAAACCCAAGAAGGGGTTGCTATGAGTCAGGACTGACTCAACGGCAGTGAGTTCGGTTTTTTTTAGAGTGGTTGGGAATGGCTGTGCTGAGGGATATTATGTCGAATGCAACAGCTCTCTCTGTACCAATGAAATAAAATGGCTACAATACATTGTGTGGTATATTCTGGAAGGTCCCACACCAAACTGGTAGCAATAGCTCTGAGGAAGAGTAGGGTTTGAGTGGTACAGGGGGAATTTCATTTTTCACTCTACATACTTCAATTATCATCTGAATTTTTAAAATCAGAACACATGCATTCCTTCTGTAATTAAAAGAAAAAGGAAAAAAGCTAAGGAAACTCTAATGGAGACCTGATTTGTGACAGCACCCTCTCTACAAATTAACTCACCTCTACTTTCTTGGTTCCAATTGAAATCAAACTCAGTAAAACAAATCTCCTTCATTTTGTCCAATAACCCCCATTCCTGTCCTCCACCTCACTAATGGCCCTCCTTGCCAGTGACCACTTTCAAAACCCTAATTACTGAGCTCCAATGAAAGACAATCAGAATCATTTTCACCAGTTGTTTTGCTGTTGAATTATGTTGCATTTTCCTTCACCACATCTCTGTCATCATCACCAGTCTTTCCTTGTCCAGACTCTTTCTATCTACTCTCCTTACTCTTTATTTTTTAGGACCCCAAACTATAGGTGTAATTACTATTGTTTTCTGGAAAAAGTGTTGACTGAAGTACCTCCCTACTCAAAATCTCTTGTTTTCTACTAAACTGGGAGTTTACCCCAAGATCCTCATTTCTCTTTAAAATTTCTTCAGGAAACCTGCTAGGGTACATAACTAGCTTCCCCCTTCCCACTTGCCAAGAGAAAAATCCTTGGTCATCTTGGGTAGATTGGTTCTGAGTCTCATATAAAGACATCTCTATTTATAAGCATTACACATGCTAAGTGTAATGAGGGTAGACACAAACTCCTCTTTCTGCTTAAATTTAACAAGTTTAACAACATTTTCAATTAAATCATCAAATACTCTGAAATCTATCAACATTCTGTCAATACATATTCATTGATCTAAAAGAGATGGGGGTCCACTTCTAATTTTTCATAACAAAATTAAAGAGACGTGAGCAAAGCAGTTGAACATGCAGAACATAGAATTATATTGACTGTATTTTTGGCACATTTACTCAGACATTAAATTAAGAGTTTAAAATAGATAAGTATAATTGCTGTGGTTGAAAGACACACAAAAATGATGCTGTATAAACATTAAACTTTAGCTTCATAAATTTTAGGCAAACAGGATCTAGTTTATGATCTCAAATAAAATACACTTTAACAAGGAAAGAATAGGAATCTACTTTTCCAAAGATGACTTAGATTCTGAAGCGATAGCCAGTCTTTTCACTGCGTGAATTATAAGACAATAACTTCATGTCATGGATGGTAAACATCTATCAAAGTAGACGTTTTACACACCAACACACAGACTGACCTGAACAGCAAATGCAATGACTCAGCCATTATACCCTATTAAGTTTTGGGAATATGTCCAAAAATAATATTACGATAAAGAAAAGTATATGATTAACATGTTCTCTACAGAATGAATTACAATGTATTTGTTTCCTGAAAGCAAAAAAGAAAGAAAAAAAAATCAGTGGTATTGTATTACTGATAAATTGTGCTATGTGCAAACAAAAGTTATTTACAGATGTTAAGTGATATTTTTGATTGTTTCCTACATATAATATAATATATTATTAAATAGAATCCAACAGAATAAACTCAATTGGTATGCCTACCTTAAGCCTTCAAAAAAGTAGACTGTGTACCATTTTAAGTTTAGCGATAACTTTTGATTCAAAATAGTGACAAGCTAATTTTAAATTCCTTAGGTAATCTCATTAAAGTGTTGCTAATTATCAATGTATATAAAACTTTAGTATGTAGCTTTGTTTACTTTAAAAAATGATAAGAATAATGTCAACAAAAATAATTACTGCCATTTACTGAGGGCTCAATGTATGCCAAGTACTGGGCCACGTGAATTTACCTTCATTATTTCATTAACTTACTTATGACACAAGAAATAAATGTAATTATACCCATTCTACAGGTGAGGAAACAGGGTTAGACAGATTGAGTAACATAGTTACTTCATTTACTGTTTGTTCCTTAGCTGTTACTTGGGTTTATCTGAATTTGGAGCTCACCCTCTTCATTAACTACTTATTTATATTTATAATCATGTGTGAAATTGGAGAGCGAGAGAGAAAAGCACTGGTGAGGTCTGGGTAAACCTACATTTCCCTAAATTTATTGAGTGATCAGTATGTAATCTGTTTCCAACTAAAGGCTTAATACATCTATTGGGAAATTTTATCTCATAGCAACTTGCTTGGGTATCTATGATCAAATCAGGAGTATCTTCTTAGAAAAGTCTCCCCTACTATAAAATGAGAGATCTCAATCATGAAAACCATGTTAGGGACTTTGATTAGGGGATGGACTCTACAATGAATTCCTTTATGAATATATAAAGTCATCATCCAGCTCCAGGCTTAGCACGGACCATTCACCAGAATTCATAGATTAGATGGTCTCATTAGACTTGCTACTACTTTTAAGGAGACTTTCTGGAAGACAAAAAATGCTGAGAAGTGAGAAACTCTTCTGGTTTATGCATGATAGAACAAAGTCTTAAGACACGGAGGACTAAAGTACATACTTACTGACCTTTTGCATTATTTGAATCCCTGTTTGACTGACACTGGGAGGAACAGTGTAAGTAACAAAAGAGCCTTATAAAGCACCATCCAGCACTCAGGACAAGATGCTGCCTTTCATGCACACGAGGAAAGAGCTGGACTTACTTCCAACAAGAAGGCCAGCTGTTTCTTCTGTTCTTCCAGGCGCATGCTGGCAGACGTCCATTTCTCCTGGATTTCCGTGAGCTCAGCCTGCAAGGCAGCCTCGGCCCCACTGTCTGCTGAGAGCAGGAGCTGCTTTCCGGCCTCCACGGTCAGGATGTAGCTTCCTTGTTGTCTCAGGAACACTTTTTCTTTGAACTGCAAGAACCAGAATTCTACATCTCTTCTTCAGCATTTCCCTGTTATAAGTGTTTTTAAACCACCCTAAATTTTAGCATAAGGAGCCCTGGTGGTGCAGTGGTTAAGTACTCAGCTGATAAGCAAAAATTTGGCGGTTTGAACCCACCCAGTGCCCCGCAGGAGAAGACCTGCAGATCTGTTCTGGTAAAGATTAAAGCCTAGAAAACCCCATAGGGCAGTCCTACTCTGTTACATGGAATTGGTAGGAGTTGGGATAGATTTGATGGCACTCAACAACCACAGAAAATTTTAGCCTACTGGGTGTGCCCTTTTCCATCCAACAAGCATTTACCAAGCAGGTACGTTGGTACATGAATGAGAACACACCGGGAGAGGCTTAGTTTCTTCCCACAAGTTAAATGTCATGACAATGCAATATAATAACGGCTTTATTAGATTTATACACAGGGAAAGACTGAATCCCTAGCCTAGCATGGGGTGGACAGAGAGGCAGAGAAGGTTTTCTCAAGGTGGTAAGGGAGGGGCGAATCTTGAAAGACAAGATCACAACCAGATTAAGAAGGACCTAGTGTGATGAGTTAGATCGAGCCCTGATGGTGCAGTGATTAAGCACTCAGCTGTTAACCAAAAGGTCAGGGGTTCAAATCTACCAGCCACCCCATAGGAGAAAGATGTGGCAGTTTGCTTCTGTAAAGATTCCAGCCTTAGAAACCCTATGGGGCAGTGATACCCTGACCTGTGGGGTCACTGAGAGTTGGAATCAGCTCAACAGCTATGGGTTGGGTTTGGTTTAGTGTGATGAGGGCCGGCAGTGGGAGAGAGGGACACCTTCTGCAAAGAGAGGTGAACATGGACAGATTCGCTTTGCAAGAGAAATAATGATCAGTCAAGAAACTAGATGTGGTTTTCAATGGCTGGCATATAGGATGTACAAAAGAGCATGGTAGTAGGTGAGGCAAGATGACACTTAGCATGAGAATTTGTTTTTTATAATAAAACTGATTGAGATTCATAACAGAATACAGAGCAGGAAAGTGATGTTTGGATTTAAGTTTTAATAAAAGAACTCGGAAATAGGGTAGAAAATGGAATGGAGGAAGAGCACACATTGGATATAATAAGCCAGGTTAGGAACTTATTCTCTAGACAAGAAATCATGAGGATCTAACCTAATATAGTGACTGTGGGGATGAAGACTTGGGGCAGAACAGATGTGGGGAGTGAGAGGGAAGGAAGAGTACAGCTTTAGAATGATTTGGGGCTCCTGGAATGACAGACCAGGTGGTTGGTGATGACGTTCCCCTGGATTGGGATATAATGAACAGAACCTGAATGGGAATTGCTGATATAAAGAAAACAGGTTCGTTTGGACCCACAGCATATACTGTGTCTGCAATGCACACGAAAATAAATCTAAAAGGCAGTCGGGTACATGGGTTAAAAGTTCAGGAGATGGAGGTGCCCAGAAGACATCAGTTGGACCTTTCTCTGCTGGTGGGGTTCAGGGAGCCATGTCTATGGGTGAAGTCTCCCAAAGAACTGGGGAAGAATAGAAGAAGAGTGATATTTACACGAAAAGGAGGCCATGAAGTATACTGCAAAGGATTGATTAGAGTGCTAGGAGGTGCCTGTCTGTGATGTTGGAGTCCAAATTCCCAGGCTGCTAAAAATAAGAGACTAGCTTGGAATGGTCACAGTGCTCAAACAGGACTGAGCCTTTATCTTTTCTGGAATATGCATGTAAATTACACGTTAAAATTGTTTTTGAATAAAAAAAATATATCATCAATGTTACATTTTCCTTCCCCTGTCTTTGCCTTTCCATTCAACCAGGGCTTCAGTGAGCTGCTGGGTGCCCTTGGTATATGAAGTGGAGGGAGTCTTGGTGAGAGGCTGGACTTAATCTAATTTCAGCATTAACAGCGGGCTTTGTACTACAATCATTCTGTGTATTTCTGCTGACATTTGAGGACTCTATTCTGATTCTGATGCCACTCCAGAATCCTTTTAAAGAGCTGAGGTCTGAGTCAAGTGCAGTGGAAACACAGAAGAGTTCATGAACAGTGTGTTTTGCACCTTACCTGCACTTCATCAAAGAGGGTCCTTGCTTGTTGCAGTGGTATAGGGACACTTCCGAGCCCACTCATGGGCAGATAGGACACTTCAACCAGCCACTTGCGAAGCTTCTCTGCCATCTCCCGATAGCGCTGCCACTGGCGAATCTGGCTATCAATGATTCCACGCCTCTGCTGGGCCCTGCGAATCACTCCCTGCCACTGATTACTGAGGAGAGTCAACTTCAGGTTGAACTCGTCCCTGTCAAAGAAGTAATGACGTGGTGAAAAACACTGCTTTTTGGATGCACTACAGGTTTCAAATATTCTGCTGTGATTAGTTAGCAGGTCTATTGCGAGTAATTTCTAAAATTAGTAACTTGGAAATAATTGCATTTGCAAATTATTAGTCATTTCATGTGTCAGCAGAGATTGAAGGTATAAATCAATTTTCAACTTATAGCAACCTCTGTGATAGAGTAGAACTGCCCCGTAGGGTTTTGTAGGCTGTATGGTGCAACAGTTAAGTGCTCAGCTGCTAATCAAAAGATTGGGGGTTCAAACGCATCCAGTGGTTCCATGGGAGAAGGGTGTGGCAGTCTGCTCCCATAAAGATTATAGCATAGAAAACCCAACAGGGCAGCTCTTCTCTGAAACCCGGGGTTGCTGTGAGTTGAAATTGACTCAACAGCACCCAACAACAGCGATCTTTATGGGAGCAGATTGCCAGGTCTTTCTCCTGTTGAGCTGCTGAGTGGGTCTGAACACCAACTATTCGATTAGCAGTCATGCACTTAACCATCGTACCACCAGGGCTCCTAGAAAGAAAGTTTCTCTATGAAAAGGTCAGTGTCATTCACTTTCTCCCTGAGGGCACAAGACAGGGAGAGTGGGGTATAGCGAGTGCCATGTGTTTGGCCCCAGATGCTGAGAATACCCACAGCAATGTGTGCTGAAGGTGACAGTGGCTGGTGCATGCCCCAGCAGGAAAAAAATGTGCTTCTGTATTGCCTTTGTCTTCATCTAGAATTATAAACCACTTTGGATGGATAAATCTTATTTTAGCTAGAATCATAAGCCACTAAAATAAAATTATATAATAATATTTTATCATTTTTTTTTAAACATCAGGTTTATTACAAGCAGTTATTCTTAGGCATGTAGGGAGACTCTTCTGATTCCATAAAAACAGAAACACACACACACACACAAACTAAACCAAAATGCCTTAAAATAGACTAGTTACAGTGAGACTTATGAAGGTTTATGAAGAGAAGGGAGAAGAATAGAAGATCATTCACTGGCTATTCTTCTTACGATTATTTTTTAAAAAATTGTGATTCAGGTGAAGGTTTACAGAGCAAATTGGTTTTCCACTCAACTAGTGATACCCACCAGCCACTCCTCGGAAGATAGGTTGGGCAATCTACTTCCATAGTGATAGTGCCTCAGAAACCCAAGGAGGGCTCATTATGAGTCAAGTCCGACTCAATGGCACATAACAACAACAAGTGATACACATTTTGTTTTGTGCTGTTGATTTAAATCCCCATAATGTAACTTTTCCCAATTCCACCATGTGTTTACTGTTTCCCTTTGTCCTTCTTTCCTTACCCTTCTTGCCTTCTGACCTTTTTCCTTAGGCAAATGATGCACTTTTGATCTCATGTGGTTGACTGTTTTAAGGAATGTATACCTCCCTGGTGTTACTGTTCACCTTATAGGCTTGTCTACCATTTGGCCTAATGGTAAACCATTGGGTTGAGTTCAGTTCCAGCCTTGAAGGGTGAATTATGTATTGAAAAACACTTGACAACAACAGGCTGTTGGTTAGTTTTGCTTCATGTCTTACTCCACAAGACTGAATCTCTGAGTATTCCCTTAAATAAGCAGACTTTAGCAAATTATCACCCTGATTAATCGAAATGTTCTATTTCAAGTCCACTTCCCTTTCTTTTAGAGAAACGAAAACTATCTAGTCATCATTCTCTGTATAAATGTTACCCATATATTTAGAGTGACTACACTTTACTTAGGATCTCTCTTTCAGGCTAAAGAATTCCAGGGCTTTTCATTTGTTCTTCTTATCTTTGCTTTCTAACTTAAAACATATATATATTGGTAGTTCTTTATTAAGTTTTTTATGACATTCAACTCATAGCCTTAGAATTGGCTAATAAGGGTTTGCCCAGCTTCAAACAGAATGTTCCTTTGTAGCTGATAATGCTATTCACACACCTTAATACTAACCTGCGATGCACGTGTTTTCTCTGTCACATGTTTTGCTTTGCTTCCTCAGAGGTGCCATTCTCTCCTCTTGACTATGGCTTCAAATCAGAATTGGGCTTATTCTTACACTCTTAGTCCTGTATTCTTAATACCCTCTTCTATTATGTAGGAGTACTATACCCTTTGATTCTGTAACCAAATTGTCATTTTTCCTAAAAATGTATTTAATGATTCAACCTAACCAAAAAGATGGGAGCTCTGGTAGCATAGTGCCTAAGGCACTTGACTGCTAACCAGAAGGCTGGCGGTTCAAATCCACCAGCCACTCCTTGGAAGGAAGACAGGGCAATCTATTTCTGTAGTGATACTGCCTCAGAAACCCAAGGAGGGGTCGCTATGAGTCAGGTATGACTCGATGGCACATAACAACAACAACCAAAAAGATGCATAGTCAATGTCAAAAATGCACCTATTAAAAATGAAAAGTACTGAATAAAACCTCAGTAAAATATTTCTTATGTGCTCTCATTTTGAACATAGATCTATGGCATAGATTAGATTTGAGGGTGACTGGTATTTTTGAATAGGTATCCTAATATCTACAATCATTTATTATAGAATCCAAATGTGATGAATTAGGTTTCTAGACTTTTCCTAAAAGTTACAAGCCTCTGTCAACCATACAAATATACAACTGCAGGCCTTGAGAAGGTTCAGTTACATGAAGCAACCAATCACCAGTTATTGTCGAGTTGATCTGATGCATGGCGACCCCATGTCTGTAGGAGTAGAACTGTGCTCCACAGGGTCTCCAATGACTGCTTTTTTGGAAGTAGATCACCAGGTTTCTCTTCTGAACCATCCCTGGGTGGACTCAATCAGCCAACCTTTTGGTTAATTCTCTCCCTACCCAGCAAATATCCAAGATCTCTTCTGAACACCTGTTCTCCCTTTGTACAACCAAGCTGTCCTGAGCTATCTGCCAGCACAAAGAACAACTTAAAAAACATTGCACCATTCTCAGTTCTAAACTTAAAACTCTAAAACAAAAACTTCTAAATTAGCTTTTAGAACACAGTAAGTTTTTAATTCCGGGTCTTCTTACTGCCAACTTTTTCTACTCTGAAATTTTTTTTTTTAACTTGTAATTTTAAAATTATTTATCCTCAGAGCCAACCCTGCCACTTTCATCTATTTACCATTTAAAATTTAATAGATGCTGGCTTGCATGTGAATTTTAAATTTAATTTTGCTTAATAACTCAAACACTTACAATATTGTTATGGAGTTGGCTAAGGGAGAATAAAGCAAATGATAAAAGTTAATTGCATTTGAATTTATTTTATTTTGAAGGCCTTAAGTTCACAATAAAGCTCACAGAGAAATTTGGCTGACTTAGAATAGAATAAATATGGTATCACATTTTGTTGTTCCAACCTCATTCACGAGAGTCTTTCATGTGTTTCCAAAGATATATCCAGTTAAAACTGAACATGCTTCCAAAACATTAAAAACATTTCAATAAGAATCATGATTTAGTTTCTAATTTTTTGAAACTATGCTAATTTGAATCACAACTACTGGTCTTAAACATGGGAAAGATACACATATATCACTGCCATGGAATTGATTCCGACTCATAGTGACCCGCATTGGGTTTCTGAGGCTGTAAATCTTTATGGAAGTAGATTGCCCCATCTTCCTTCTGCAAAACTGCTGGTGGGTTTGAACCTGACTTGGTTAGCAGACAAATGTCTTCCTTACCCACTACACCACCAGAGCCCCTTAAATTGAATCTCTAGGTAGTGCAAAGGGTTAAGCACTCCACTGCTAACAAAAAGGGTAGAGGCCACCCCGAGGCACCTCAGAAGAAGGACCTGGGGATCTATGTTCTAAACTCGGCCACTGGAAACACCCCTGAGCACAGTTCTACACTGACACGCGGGGGTCACCATGGGTCAGAATCAACTCGCCAGCAACTGGTTTGAAACTCTAAATATCACCATGGAAAGGAGACCGGATATAGTATGCATCATTCCAAACCCATCCCAACCCAAGCCACTGACATGGAGCCCGTTCCAACTCATAGTTGTTGTTGTTGTTATGTGCC